AACCCGCGGGCTCAGGCAATCCACTCACCTCAGCCTCCCAAAGGTGCGGGATTACAGGCTGAGCCACCGAGCCCGGCTCTTGGTTGCTTTTTAAATGACTTCAAATCTTATAGCCAGGTCTTCTCTCTCTAACTGAGCTATCAGGTAAGGAAGAGGAGGACCGGTGTCTTTCTTCTGTGGCATCCTTTATGGGGTCAGTTCTTCTCTGGGAACAAATTGGGTCCTCATGGGCATGGTGAAGCCCTTTCCTTTTGTCAAAGCATGAGGTCACAATCATTCCAGGAAGGTGGATTCCACCTGCCTTGCCAGCAAACCCTGAGACATTTCCACTCAAATTCTCAGCCCAGGAGTCTTCTCATCCCCATCCAACTTGCACTTCCCTCCCCCCACCGCCAAGCCAGCTTGCACCAAGAGTTCCTAAATAATAACAGGAGTGTTTACCTTGAAACCATCTCCTCGCCACGTGGCTATACTACTTTCAGCAGGGTTGGGGACTTTGGGCCAACACAGGTCAATCAATTTGCTAACAAGAAATAAGATTTTAAAACAGGAAGTGAGTCCATGAAGCATTTTAAACACACTGTACAGCTGAGTCAGAAGAGCAAGGCTTGGCTAAAGGGAACTGTATGACCTCCTATTAAATAAGGGCAAGCTCAGGCCTCCTGACAGATACTAGGAAAGTGAAGTTATTTTGGCGATGAAATTGCAAGTTATCTATGGGATGTGATGGGAGGAGACTTCTCCCCACACAATGCTCATCCTACCTTCCCTTCTCCCTTGCCCCTGCATCTCCGTGCCCAGCCCTGATGCTGGAAATTGCACCATCCGAGTCATCCCTTTGAGATTTATTCCCTGGGAAGGGTAACATTCTAAGCTATCCACACTTTACTGCAGTGGATCCCAAAGTGTGGTTCCAACCAGCAGCATCAGTATCACCTGAGAACTTGTTAGAAATGCAAATTTTAGGGCTTCACCAAAACCATGGAATCAGAAACCCTTGGGGCAGAACCTGATTCTGACACATGCTAAAGATTAAAATGACTACTTAAGTGTGTAATGTACAAGCATTTGTGCTGGTGACTTGGTTACAGCCGACAGCTGATATCAGAGGTTGACATCATTTGACCATTAACTAAGCACAGCTGCTTGGCAGAGAAGACCCACAAGGGTCGAGTTTGGAAGTTGAGCTCAACCAGGGAAGAACCATCAGGGTAGCATGAGGCTCACTGCAGAGAGAAAGCACAAAACCCCGAAGACAAGTCTCCTTGCCCACTGTGGCCAGGGCAGACAGGGCAAAGGCCCCTGCAGCCAGCCACCCAACACCACACCCCCAACAAGTCACCAGCATATGACTGGCCAGCACTAATTGCACAGGAATACCACTTCCTGCTCTGCCTGAGAGAGGCTTGCAACAAGGCCTCTGATTACTGTCAGGGACCCTCTTAGAAATTGAGAGAAAGGACTTCCTCTGTAACTCTAGTAACAGACAGCAAGTGCAGTGGATAAGGCCTGTGGGCAGCTGGCACTCTCCTGGCCTCAGAAAGGCCTATGCCTGGTACATGAAGCTGGAGGAGATGAAAGTCCTCTGCTTGCTCAGAATTCTGATGAACCTCAGCGTGTGGCCTTTAATACCCCAATAAATATGAATAAATGAACGGACACCCCATTAATGGCAGAGTGCCTTCTCCTGTGAGGCACCCGTGATGGCTTCCACCCCTTTTGTCCCTGATTTTTAAGGAACCCACTAATGCCTACAAACTCACTTGGGTTTTTTGAGACCATATGCCATAGTCAGGACGATGAGAATAAGAAGGCCTCCTCCAACGAGAATATTGATAAAGATAATCTCAAAGATACCTTTGGGAAAAGGAGAACAAAAGTCAGTAGGAAGTTGAGTTCCTTATATTCTACACAAATATCAAAGATTAACCATTTCTTCTAGTAACCGCAGTAACACAATTTTTGATTAGTTTTCTTTCCATTAAATTCGACTTATTTTCCTTTAAAAAAATCTGGGATTTGTGGCTCCCCTTCTAGTAGTCTTTTCCCTGCATGATACTAGATATTATGCTCATCAAGCCCATCCTCCAACTTCATTCATTCAGTGCATATTTATTAAGTACTTACTATTTGCCAAACACTATTTTGAGTAATAAAACAAATAGTAATAAGCAAGAAGCGCAAGATCCCTACTCTTATGGAGCTTACGTTCTGGTAGAAGGATTCAAACAACAAATAACACAGGATGATTTCAGATCAAATAGGGTAATAAAAGAGTAACTAGGGTAAGGTGGAAGGGGAGTTAGCAACTTTAGAGATGAGGGCCAAGGAAGAAGTGAAATTCGGGTTGATCTTAATGAGAAGGAGGCAGTCAAGAAAAAATACGGAGAAAAGCATTTCAGGTGGAAGTAACAGCAGGTGCAATAGCTTTGAAGCAGGAACAAGGTAAGGAACACATGAAGGGGAAGGTCCCCCAAAAACCCAGAAGTTATTTATTAAAAATTATGTATTTATTCTTACATGTTTACACTTCAGTCACATTCAAAATACTTTCCTTTGATGCAATACACCTATCAAGATGCTTTTTCCAGTTTCTGCAAAGCAAAAGAGACCATCAAGAGAGCAGGGTGACAGCCTGAAAGGGAAAAAATATTTGCCAACTGTATATCTGACAAAGGCCTAACATCCAGGATTTACAAGGAACTCAAATGTGCTGAAAGGAAACAAACCAAACAGTTCCATTAAAAAGTAGGCAAAAGACATGAATAGACACTTCTCAGAAGAAGATATACGGGCAGCCAACAGACACATGAAAAAGCACTCAGGCTCACTCATCATCAGAGAAATGCAAATCAAAACCACACTGAGATACCACCTAAACCCAGTAAGAATGGCCATCATTAAAACAAGCAACAACAGATGCTGGAGAGGATGTGGAGAACAGAGAATGCTTTTATAGTGCTGGTGAAAATGCAAACTATTTCAACCTCTATGGAAAATAATGTGGTGATTCCTGAGAGAACTAGAAATTGACCTTCCACATGACCCAGCAATTCCCCTACTGGGAATATATCTGGAGGAACTCAAATCATTCTACAAAAAAGATACCTGCAACACGTGCTTATTGCAGCACTATTCACAATAGCAAAAACATGGAACCAACCATGCTGCCCATCAAAACTGGACTGGATAAAAAAATGTGGTACATATTCACAATGGAATATTACACAGCCCTAAAGAAGGACAAATATATGGACTTCGCAGCAACTTGGATGGATTTGGAGTCAAACATACTCAGTGATCTATCATAAAAACAAAGAACCGAGTACCATATGTTCTCACTCATAAGTGGACCCTGAACATTTACCATAATACTATAAGAAAGGAATAGGCAGTAGCAGGATTCTGCCCGGGTGGGGAGGGAGCACATAATATCAATAAGGGTACCTGATCTCAAACCAGGCAAAGTAGGGACCAAAGAGAGGCCCAAACTTTACCTGTATGATGTCCACTTGTATACCGAATCCTGAATTATACCCCACATTTAAAATAAGACATACATTTATTTTAAAAAGAGTCTTTTTCCACTGTTCAAAACAATTTTTGAATTCATCAATTTTGATGCTTTTTAGAGCTTCTACCATTTTTTGTTTCACCTCTTCCATATTGGCAAAATGTTTTACTTCAAGGGCTTTTCTCATCTGAGGGGAAAAAAGTCGCTCAGGGTGAGATCGGGTGAATAAGGAGGATGGAGTTTTTTGGTCAAAAACTATTGAACACGCAGCACAGTATGGGCAGATGCGCTTGTAAATCACTCAGCATGAAAGGGGCAAATGCATTGAAAGAATCTTCAGAAAGAAAAAAAAATTCTCTGAAGCCGAATGCAGCCTCTCATAACAACGCCAGCTTGTACACTGATGCTGATGGGTACCCAGAATGGTGGAAACCCGCAGTACAAGGGACCCACGCTCCAGAAGATCATTCCAGGTTTTTTGGAGGTCTCACTTTGTAAGTAAAGGCAGAAAGTGATAGGAAATAAAGTCAGTGAGGGACAGATGATGAAGCACTCTGAAAGCTATAGGAAAGAGTTTGAATTCTATTTCAAATACAGTGGAAGTCATTGTGTGTTTTACTCAGGGGATCCAGGGTTGGAAACTGCCCTGCTTCATGGAGAATGGACTGTAGACAATCAAAGATAGAGCAGATGACTGTAATCTATAGACCAGGCTAGGAAACTTCTAGGCTCCTAAGCAGAATTGTGCCTTCATTTGACCCTTGGAGAAAATTCCACAAGCAGATGCAATTTGGGCCTAGTGTTGTGAAAATACAACAGGATTTTACAAGATTCTAAACAGCAATATCAAAAAAGAGTTCCAAGAAGGCAATGTTAGTCCATGAAACAGAACATGTTACTCTGTTAAAAACACATGCTTTACTCACATTTTCCAGGGTCATAATGCTATTTCATTCTTTAAAAATGTGCTGATTAAAGGCTTTCAAGAACATTTCAAGCAGGCAATTTTTAGCGTGTATCAGTTATTGCAAAATTTGGTTACGTTCCCTTATTTTTTAATCTAAAATGTTGTTCATTCCTTAAAACAGCTTTAGCATGAACTTAAAAATCAAATCTCTGCCACTCAAGGACTTGGTAAAGTTAATATATTTTTCTGTTTCTCCCATTCTCCCTTTTTCTTTCTGCTTCATCTCCCTCCTCATTTTATCTTCCTCCCCTCTTGAATATCTCCCTTAATCAGTTATCATATGAAGCCATATTACATTTTACATTATTTTTTGTATCTACTAAATTTTTCTTGCTCCCTATTTTTAATGTAAAAACTGTTAAGATGAGCATATCGCATGTCTTTTTGCTAAAAGACAAAACAAAAAAAAAAACTCCACAAATGATGAGGTTAAGCCCCTTCCTATGAATCAGTGGTCCTTGGCCAACCAAGGTTGTCCTTCTAAGGTCCTATTGTACAGTGATATCTAATATGCAGACACTGGTGACTGTGAACTCAGAGGCAACTTTTAGACAAGAACTGGTTTGGTGTTGGACAGAAGACAGCATTAACTTGATACCTCCACCTCAAGATGATTTGGTACAGTCCATGAGGAAGGAGCAAAATGACCAGTCTTTTCTAATTCAGCTCTCAATTCGCCTGCTCTCTCCCTCCTGTCTCCTCAACTATATGACTTTCAGGAGGGTCAGTGAGCCAGAGAGTAGGATGGTTTTGCTCACCTAGATACTGCCCTTTCATTTTGCTTCCCCTTGCCTTTGGTAAACATCATTTCTCACTGACCTAAAGTACCCAGAGCTTGAAAGAAATACTCACTGATTGACAATGTCTTAAAATTTATCCTGGTCCCGTTGGTTCCTCCAACACTGGTGCTGGCCATGACCTGAACAGTGTAAGAGGTCTTTCGTGTCAGTGACTCCAGGCCATACTGCAGGGTGGTGGAGTTGACTGTCTTGGCTAAAGGGAAAATATAGAAATTAAACACCACCACCAAGCTGGACTGAAAATTGTGTTTTAGTAGCACCAAAATAAGAGTGTTCGAACCTGTACTTCCAAGTTTGGCCATCTCATATTTTAACCCCTTTCCATGTCCTGCTTAAAATCAGCCTTTCAAGGTGGATCAATTACTAAATATAAGAGCTAAAATTATTAAAACTCTTAGAAGACAACACAGGGCAATCTTCATGACCTTGAATTTCACAATGGTTTCTTTTTTTGTTTGTTTTTGAATCAGTCTCACTCTGTCACCCAGGCTGGAGGGCAGTGGCAAGCTCATAGCCACTGCAGCCTCAATCTGCTGAGCTCAGGCAATCCTTTTGCCTCAGCCTTCCAAGTATATAGAACTATAGGCCATCATGCGCCATCATGCCTGGCTAATTGTTTTTGGTTTATTGTAGAGAAGAGGTCTCACCAAGTTGCCCAGGTGGGTCTCGAACTCATGGGCTCAGGCAATCTTCTCACCTAGGACTCCCAAAATGCTGGGATCATAGGCGTGAGCCACCGTGCCTGGCCCTCACAATGTTTTCTTAAATATAGGATGCCAAAAGCATAAGCAGCAAAAGAAAAAATAGATTAAGCTGGACTTCACTAAAATTAAAAGCTTTTGTGCATCAAAAGATAAGAGAGTGAAAAGACAACCCACAGACTGGGAGAAAATATTTACGAATCATATATCTAGTAAGGAACTTATATGTAGACTACACAAAGAACTTTCAGAACTCAGCAACAAAAAGAAAGACAACCCAATTTAAACATAGGCAAAGAGATTTAAAAGACATTTCTCCAAAGAAGATACATGAGTGCCCAACAGCTCCTTGAAAAGATACTCAACATCATTAGTCATTAGGGAGATCCAGATCAATGAGATATCACTTCCCACTACTTGGAAAGTCATAATAATTTTTTAAACGAAAAATAACAAGTGCTGACAAGAATGTAGAGTAATTAAAACCCTCATACATTGCTGGCGAGAATACAAAATGGTGTTCTCACTGCAGAAAACAGCTTTCAGTTCTTCAATAAGTTACACTAGAATTACCATGTGATCCAGCAACACCACTTCTAGCTATATATCCAAAAGAGTGGAAAGCGTGAACGCAAGCAGACATTTATATACCAGTGTTCATACCAGCACTATTCATAGTAGTCTGAAGGCTGGAACTACCCAAATATTCATCAACTGGTGAATGGATAAACAAAATATGGAACATTCACATAATGGAATATCATTCAGTCACAATAAGGAATAAGTACTAATTCCTGTGATGACATGGCTGAACCCTGAAAACATGAAGCTAAGTGAAAGAAGCTGATCAGAAAGGTCATGTACTGCATCATTCTATTTATAGGAAATATCCAGAACAGGCAATCGCTAGAGACACAAAGCAGTGGTGGTTGCCAGGGACCCTGGCAGAGGAGAATGGGAATGACTCATTAATGGGTACAGGGCTTCTATTTGGAGTAGAGAAAAGTTCTGCAAATAGATAGTGGTGACGGTTGTACAACATTGTAAATGCTCTTAAAGCTACTAAACTGTACACTTTCAAATGTTTGAGATAGTAAATTTTATTATGTGCATTTTACCATAAGAAAATAAATTTTAGCCTAAACAGGAATCCAAGCCTAGCCCAGAATTTAGGATGTCAGGAGATACTGTAGACTTGAGAAGAAAAGGCATGAGTTGACAGGGGCCATAGATGTCACAGTCACAGGGTCTGTTCCCCTCCTCTCTTCAAGCAAGGATATCCCTCCTGGGAATCATGGCTGGGGAACTCCTGGGAGGGTCATTTGGGTGCTGACCAGCACTAATTATACAGCTCCTCCCATTGGTACAGAACTCTCAGGTACTGTCATTTCTCTCTCATTTAAACGAAAAAAAAAAACCCTCAAAAGGTGGGTGCTCTTGGCTCCATTTTCAGAAGAACTCAAAGAATTTAAGTGATTCATGCTAGGTTGCAGGTAGCAACAATGGGAGTCACTCCTCCCACAGGTCTATCTAAAGCATCTATGTGGGGTTTTGGGGTTTTGGGGTTTTTTTCCACTTGGCTATGGGCATGCTTACAGAATTCTTTTCCATCTTCATCTTGGTAAAATATGGTGTAGTTCCTGATGAAACCATTTCTCTGACTCTTGGGAATCTCTTCCCATACAATTGTGACCATCTGCACACCAATGCTGTCTACCTTGGTCACAGGACCTCTTGATGGAACTGGAAAAGACAGGGAGATAAATGATAAACACTGAATCACATCCCAGAAGATCCTTCCCCTACAAAGGCTCTGACCGGGACTCAAACCAAAACCACAGTGCCGGTGATAGGAGGTGAGTAGGGAATAGACAAAACAATGGCTTTCTGGAGTCAGCCATTTTAAACAAGAAGCAAAGTGGCATCAAAGACCAGGAAAAAAAGGACTTTCTTACAGACTCTTCCTTATAATTTGCTAGGCATCCAGTTTCTCCATTCATATCTGTAAAGTGTACCATTATTAAATAGTTGAAGAACATGCCTCCTAAGGTTACCTTTGAGTGGCCGGAGATATTCTCCAATGTTTCATCTGCAAAATGTGATCTTCCAAAAAGGTAAAATAAATAAATAAATAAAGTCCAAGCATTTCACCATTAAAGCCCTTGCTTATTGCCATATAATTAAAATAATTTTTTAACATCCCTAACTTCTGATGAACTCCGTAGGCAGTCTGAGTTGGTCTTAATTAAATGTTATTTCTGACTGCAGCTCTATTTGCACTAAGTTTCTTTGTGACTTGGGACAAATTATTTCACCTCTCTGAGCCTCAATTTTCCATTTGTGAAATGAGGAGACTGGACTTGATGATCTGTAATGTCTAGCCCAGCTTTGAAACTCGTCACATCTATAACCCGGCCCCCATCGTGTCCAACATAAATAGCTCGATGCAAGATGAAGACGCAGCACAAATGGGCCCTAAGAAAGCTGGAGTAAGCTACAGGCATTCACAGTCATATCTCAAGGTTGGACAGGTCCCAGTGTGTCCTTTCCCCCAGGGTCCTTGTCCATACATACCATCTTCTTTGACATAAGCCTGGATGGAATGAGGCTCACCCACTTGGTCTCCCAATATTGGATACACAGAGATGTTATAGCACCAGAAAGGTTTTAATTTCTCTGCAAAAAATAAATAAATAAAATAAGCATAAGTGCAGAGCATAGTAGAATGGAAGGAATGCTAGCTAAGAGTTATGGCCTAAAACTTATGAATGATATTCCATTTCTCTAGTTTTCACATCTGGAAAATAAGGTTTGTTTGGGTGGTCTATTTCTATTCTAAGATTTTCTAATTAATTCTTAGAACTGAACCCTGTGCCACTGTGACAAAATTACAGAGTCATCCAAGAAGGGAGAAGTAAGAGATCCAGTCTGGGCTAGGCATGGTGGCTCAACTTGTAATCTCAGCACTTTGGGAGGCCAAGGTGGGAGGATTGCTTGAGCCTAGAAGTTTGAGACCAACCTGGGCAACATAGCAAGAACTGGTCTCAAAATAAATGAAATGAAATGAAAAGAAACGAAATTTTAAAGAGATCCAACCCCTTCTCCATCATGGATTTTATCCTATGATTTGGGAGCACTGAAGAACAAAATTTAACCCTCAGTCCACAACATATCACCCTGGAGAACCCAAACACCATGAATCCTAGCTCCTCTACTTGCCTGCATTCCTTTTAATTATACGTAATGTGGATGCTATTAAGCATTAAGAAATAGATGGAGTGATAGGATTAAAGGGGTAATGCCTCATTCATGTATCTAATGTAGGGCAGGGACTTTCTTGAAAAGTAGGCCGTTCCTTACATCAATCACCTGGGGAAGGGGCTCAGCTCTTAAACAGGCAACCAGACGGAAGGGAGCATCCTAGGTAGGACTGATGGGACCCACACTGGTGTCATCCACAGGACGACCAGGATATCTGGGAAGGGTTTGCTGATGGTGGGTGTTAAGATGGTGTTTTCCACCTGGAGACAGACCAGGTACTAGGTCTAATGGATACCCACAGCTTTCTGTGCCAGCCTTGCCAGAGAAATGCCAAGAAGCGGGTCACTTCACTAAGTTTGCATGAACTTGTCAAGTGATATTTAACCACATTTACAGCTTTGAAGTCAAAGTTAAAGACTAAAACTGATGAATATGAAACGGAAAGGAACTTGTGGGTTCCACACTGGCTACCTTGCTGGATTGTCCAGTTCCTGGCCCGAGACACAGATTCCCAGGAAAGGGTGGAAGGCTCTGAGTCCATGTCTGGAAACCACTCAACCATCCATGCATCCACCACTGGAGTGGAGCTTTGCCACTCCACCACCAGCTGGTCCTGAGTACGGCAGGCCTGCATGCCCTGAATGCACTGAAATGCTGAAAGGAGAGAAAAGGACTGTTTCACAGCTACCCGATTCATTCCCAAAGCACACACTGGCACTCATTCATTGCCTAACCTATAAAACAAGGTCAAAGTTCAGGATCTTCACTGCAGCCTCCTCTGATGGTGCTATTTTCACCCTTTTTATTGTATCCTTTTTTCCTCACACAACAATGTTGGTGATGTAGTGCCTCCTTAATTTTCCCTTACCCCCCCAAATTGATCTGTTTCCAGAAAAAGATGTCACTACAGAAGTGATGGCTAAAAAAACTTACCTTCCACAGATGTTTCTGCAAGTCAAAAGAAAAGCAAGGCTGAGACAAAGAATCTCCAAAGGTAGAATTTCAGGCACCAGTAATTGTGTGTCTGGGAAACTGGGAGATGGTGACCCTAAAATCTTTTGAGAGAGATGACTTCACGCTTTAACTATATAGGTTGGCCCTAGACAAACTGGATATGAATTCCGATCCTCAAGGCAGCAAGAACTGTGTTTGAACCAGCAAGATAAAGACACACCCATCCAAAGCACCTAGATATAGATCAATATGTAAATGGGAACATTTTCTGCATGACTGGCAGAAAACTTATCTCTGGAAACAGGCCATAAGGATTCCTTCAATAGGAAAGTTGAGTGCATAGTTTCAAATTCAGTAACTGGGATTCAATCAGAATCAGAGAGAGATCTTACTAAAAATGTTTTAGACGGATGCAGTGGCTCACACCTGTGATCCCAGCACATTGGGAGGTGGAGGCGAGAGGACTGCCTGAGCCCACAGGTTTGAAACCAGCCTGAACAACATGGCAAGACCCTGTCTCTACAATAAATAAAAAAAATTAGCCGGGCATGGTGGTGCACACCTGTAGTTCCAGCTACTTGGAAGGCTGAGGTGGAAGGATCACCTTAGTACAGCAGGTCAAGGCTGTGAGCGTGCCACTGCACTCCAGCCTGGGTGACAGAGTGAGACTCTAATGCAAAAGCAAAAAATGTTCTACACACACAGAAAAGCAAACTATTTGGAGATGCAGTGAGGCAGGCAAAGCTGGCGGGGCTCAGAAATTTCAAAGGGGTGGTTTTCCCCTCTCACCTACTCCTCACCACCACAGCACACTCAGCCTTCAAAACTGGAATCCAGCTGGGTGTGGTGGCTCATGACCGGAATCCCAGCACTTTGGGAGGCCAAGGCGGGAGGAATGCTTGAGCCCAGGAGTTTGAGACCAGCCTGGACAATATAGCCAGATCTCGTCTCTACAAACATAAAGAATAAATAAATTAGCCAGGTATGGTGGCATGCACCTATAGTCCCAGCTCTTCAGGAGGCCGAGGTGAGAGGTTCACCTGAGCCCAGGAGATCAAGGCTGCAGTGAGCCGTGATCATGCTGCTGCTCTCCAGCTTGGGTGACAGAGTAAGACCTGTGTCAAAAACAAAAACAAACACTGGAATCCACAGGAAGTATGTTTCAGTGAACATCAAAGATAGTCCTAGATGAGGGCACAGGAGCGTCCCACAAAAAAAAAAACCCAAAAAGCCTTTCAAAACTAGAAGCCTAGGCCAAATGTAGGAAATTGGGAACTGGGGTCTTGCACCCTACTATTCCTTGGCAACAAGCTCCAGCAGGCTGTTTTGTGTATTTAGGAGTCTCATTTTTATAACCCAAGTTTATGTATCCTTTCCCCAAACTGGCCCCTTCTGAGACACTCAGCTGCTAGTCCTAGAAGCAATGACAGGTGATTTGTCAACATGAAAAGGCAGCTCTGAGAAAGAGTAACTGAGGCATGAGGGAAATGCAAAGCCAGAGAAGAAGCTGGGGCCAGGGCGAGAAGTATGGAACCTGGATAGCAATCCCAACCTATCCTAGGGCTCCAACTTTCTCCTCCCTGCCTCGCCAGGCTCACACCCCAAAGCGTCCCAGCCAGTCTGGGCTGAGAGTCATTGCTGGAGCATATGAAGCTGACCTAGACTCCTTCGGCAGCCACTGTGGGTGTCCACCCAGACCATCCCAGACTCCTCACTGCATGTGTTTTGCTTGGTTGGGATAACTTAAGAGATGTCACACTCCAGAGTCCCCCTGCAGGATCTGGTGGGAACCACCTGCCCAGGACTTTTATTTCAGATTGCATCTGTTATGCGTTGAATTGTGCCTCCTTAAAAAGATATCCTCAGTACCAGAGAATGTGACCATAGTTGTAAACAGAGCCACTACAGATGAAATTAGTTAAGACAGTGGACCCTTAACTCAACATGCCTGGTGTCCTTACAGGAAAAGAGGAATTTGGACCCAGAAACAGAGACACACAGGTAGCTGGCCATGTGGAGACCCAGGCAGAGACCGGAGTTATTGGAGCAACCACAAGCCACAGAAGATCTAGAGACTAGAAGAAGTAAGGAAGCCTCCTCCCCTAGAGACATTAAAGGGAGTTTGGCTCAGCCAACACCTTGATTTTGGACATCTACCCTCCAAACCCATAAGACGATAAATTTCGGTTGTTTTAAGCCACCCAGTTTGTGGTATTTTGTTACAACAACCCTAGGAAAATAAAACAGCACCTTTGTTGCAGGCTCCACCCCTTTCCTGGCCAGCTTCCTGAGCTTCCTTTTCTGGTTTCTCTGGAGGCACTTTTTTTTTTTTGAGTTGGAGTCTCACTCTATTGCCCAGACTGGAGTGTAGTGGCCGCTCCCGGTCACCGCAGCCTCGACCTGCTGGGCTCCGGAGATCCTTCTGCCTCAGCCTTCCAAGTAGCTGGAATTACAGGCATGTGCTACCATGCCCGGCTGATTTTTTTGATTTATTGTAGAGATGAGGTCTCGCTGCCCAGGCGGGTCTCGAACCCACGGGCTCAGGCAATCCACTCACCTCAGCCTCCCAAAGGCGCGGGATTACAGGCTGAGCCACCGAGCCTGGCTTGGAAGCCATTTTTAAATAAATGACTTGGCCATAACTCCTGACCTGAAGGCTGTGGATGTTGGTTCCTTACTCCACATTCCTTCTTCTCTGAGGAGCGGGAGGAGCTGGGGTCTAAAGTGCCAAATGTGCTGCAGAGGGAAATGACCCCATGCAAAGGGCTATAGAAATGGTCCTGTGAAGCCATGAGTCAGCCTTAAAAGGGGAAAGCTCAACAACGTCAAGAGGGCTGAAAGAGAAGCTTCTAAGTCATCACTCTACTGAGTATACATTAATTGCTGGGCTCTTCCATCATCCAACAAGAACTTTTTGAGCAAGTACTCCAAACACATCATATGCCCAGGTATGGTAGGAAACCTAGCTCCCACCTTGGGAAAAAGGGATGAGGCTCTGACTTGGAAGACCATAATTTCTTGTGAGTCACATGAAGACGATCACTCTGGGTCTCAGGTGCTGGTGGTGCTTCCGCCTTTGTTTGTTTGTTTGTTTTCAGATACAAGTTCTTACTCCGTCAACCAGGCTAGAGTGCAGTGGTATGACCATAGCTCACGGCAGCCTGTACATCTGGCTAACTCTTCTGCTCATTACAGAGTTGGGGGAGGTCTCACCATGTTGCCCAGGCTGGTCTCGAACTCTTAACCTCAAGCCATCTTGTGGCCTCAGCCTCCCAAAGTGCTGAGATTACGGGCGTGAGCTACCATGCCAAGCCAGTGCTGCTTCTTTTGCCAGCCATCCTTGCCCAACCCAAACTCTATCCTGATTTGGACTCAGCCTTTTTCTTGGGTTTCCCACCACACAGTGACTGTGCTTTTCTATTCCCGGCCTCATACTACTCCACAGCTATCTGCTGGCTAAGATCTCACAGAACTCAGGGAACATCTACTCTTTATTCTAAAGATGGAAATGTGGACGCCCACAGAAGGTAATAACCAGCTCAGCATCACAATATCTGTGACCAAAATTCCAAGTCACTTTATCAATGCCAAGCCTAAGATTCTAGATAAAGTATATAATACAAGTTTAGAGTCATGCAGACCTGAACTGGAATCCCACCTGAGGGACTTTGGGCCATGACTAAGCTTTCCTGAATCTTCTCATCATCTCTGAAATAGATCTAATAGCATCTACCTCCTGGGTCATTTCAAGGCTAAAATGGGATAACCTATGTCATCCCAGCACAATATCTGATCCATACTCAAAGGCAATATATAATAACTACACTTAATAATAATTATACTTATAAAATTATTATCATTACAACTATTCTTCAGTGGTTTCCTCTTTATTGAACAAAATTTTGTACAACATTACTTTCTCATATGTCTGGGACAGAGTTCTGTAAGCTTTCTCTGTAGAGAGCCAGATACAAAATGTTTCAGGCTTTGTGGGCAACATGTTCTCTGTCACAACTACTCAACTCTACCAATGTTGCACAAAAGAAGCCATAGGCAATAGGTAAACAAAAACATGTGTCTGTGTTCCTGTAAAACTTTATTTATAAACTCTGACATCAGACCAGATTTGGTCCACCAGCTGTCGTTGGCCAATACCAACTCTAGAACCATTATAATTGATGATCCCACTGATGCTTCTGACACAAAGGCAGAAAAAAACCAAGTGAATTTAGCACAATTTTTGTTGAAGTAAAAACACTTTTATAGTATTTTTAAAGGTGGCAATCCATGTTTAATGGAAATTTAATCAATCACAAATTTTATTAAGAATGACAATGGGGCAACCCTCTTGGGTCCCCTCCCACACTGGGAACTTTTCTGCCCTTTCAATAAATCCTACTTTCTCAAAAAAAAATGACAATAGTAATAATTAGCACTAGACAAAGCATTTTTACATACATAATCTCATTTAATCCTTACAACAGCTCTGTGAGGTAGCCTCTCTGAGGTAGGTATTATTTTATAATGGCTCCATTTTACAAATAGCTAAAGTTTAGAAAGGTTAGGCAATTTGCCCATGGTTAATGAATCTATTGGAAGAGCAAAGAGTTGAACCAGGCGTTGCTGGTCTCCAAAGCCCATGCTTGTATTTCCTACTCCTTACTGGCTCCCATTCTGGGGCCATAACGAGAAACTGAAATTACTACTCAGCAGCGCCTCTGCAAACAAATAATGTGCATCCCAATGACACATGCATTTGCCAGAAACTTCATCACTAGGGAATTGGGTAGACAAGAACTAGGATGTTGGGAAATAAGGACTATGGGGACTACTATTAAATACTAACATAATATCGGCTGTAGCTCAAAATACAAAAATATGAATATCTAGGAGTGCTAAAATGAGGGAAGAAGTGAGTTCAGTTTAAGGAGAAGAGAAGGAAGAGAGCACAGGCAGAGAAGTCTACAGATGGTGTGCAAATGTCTGAGCCAATGGAGGGCCAAGCAAATAGAGACAGAGAACTGGAGAGAACATTCCTAACCATGATGTGTTTCGACCAACAGTTACTGAGTGCATGCTATTTTAGGTGTTGGAAATTAGGTTAAAAAAGAAAAGAAATACAGACAGAAACCCCTGCTTTTTTGGAACTTGCATCCTATTGAAGGAGAAAAAGGTAATAAAATAAATGAGAAAATATACAGAAGGAAGGATAGTACTAAGTTTGATAGAGAAAAATAAAGCAGAGAAGAGGAAATTTCTTGCCTAAAGTTATTTGAATGAGAATCAAAGAAGCTATTTATTCCAACACAGGATATAAAATATGAGTTTGCCTGGGAGCAGTAATATGTTAAAAACTACCTTTAACCAAAATGAGCAATTTATTGGCAAGTACAAACATTAGAATTTTTCCTTAGTCGTCAAATGGAAGGGGAAAAGGAAGAAAACAGGAAAGTAAGCCAAGACTGGGGACACAGTGAACACCCATCTGTGGGGGGGAAAGTTTAAGGGAGGCTTTGGTCACTGAGGACAAATGTGACAAATAAGACAGTTTTATACGGCTCAACCCAGCTTACATTCACTGAGACCAGAACAAACAAAAGCTGCATGTAGAACTTCTAGGCCTATGATTTTGTATTAGGTAATTCACAAAGTCTCCAATTTTTAGGAGGCTTTGCTCCGAGGGAACTTTAGTTCAAGTGGCTTCTTATTTACCAGCAGATTCTGATTTCTTCACTACCACCTAAAAGTCCCCACTCCATTTTCACTTTGACTCAAGAGAAACAGCTACCCTTGACTAATTGGATGAGACCAGACATCTAAGTAAGCAATCAACACTCAACTCACACTTTTCATGAATAGCTGGAATCCTCAGGGTGGCTGCTGGAGACTTCCCAAGAGAATTATAAGAAATCACAGACACACAATAGGTCTCATCTCCCAGATTCAGTTCAATCTGCTGGTTAGTTGTGGTAATTATCTCTGTGAAGTTAGTGTTGTTTTCTGGAAAGTACCGTATGTTATAGCCAAGTGTTTTCTCCAGGACTGGAGCTCCTCTTGCCTTCTGAATCCAAAGGAAACAAAATTTATTGCTAACATCGGAAAAAAAAAAGATACTGAGACAGTAATCAGTGGTGGGGGTGGGGGTTATTTTAACTATCAGATACTAAACCACAATCAGGTAATTTCCCAGCCAGGGAAGCATAACATACCCTGGGCTGTGATGTTAACCCTTCAAGTGCCAGAAAAGGGAATTCACTAAATGGTCCCTTAATGTCAATCCTTAACATAAGTCTAACTCCATTAGGCTAGACTAGGAGAATGCCCAAGCCAATGTAAGCAAGTCATCTACATTTTCTTCCGACTGTGTCTCACTTCATCCCACATGTGTAGAGAGATAAAGGCTAAAAAGTCGAGGCATTTCCTCTGAGCCCATTCCAAGTCTGGTCTGGCCCTGGGTCATCTCTTGCCCAGAGCATTCATGGTTTGGAGACTATCCTACACCCACGTCTTTTATCTCCACGCCTCCCAATCTGAAGAGGGAGTCGGCTTCCCTGGACCAGGCACCCAAGTCAGGCATCCCTGTTAAGAAGAATAAAACACCCAGGACTGCCACTCCCAGTCCTAACCCCCTGGTGAAAAGCTTCAGGAGAAACCCTGGGGGCTTGAAGCCAAATTTTCAGCTGAAAATTGAACTTGGATCCACTAACCAGATGTTGCTCCTGGATGTCAGCACACTGAGTATTTCTGGGGCTTCCCAGTTATTCACTTTCTGTTGCTGATGACACACATAGATGGAGCAGAACGACTGAGCTAAGGTCAGACAGGACATTAGCCGTCACTTCGTCCCATTGCTGACTGTGGCATAAAATGTCAGCTAGAATCTCCCTAGTGACGGGGCATTTTATCTCTCAAGACAATTCATTCTCTTTCTTTTTACCCATTCTCTTTTATAAATAGCAGTTTTATTGAGATATCATTCACATTTTTAAAAATTCACTACAGTCGGTGGCTCAGCCTGTAATCCCACGCTTTGGGAGGCTGAGGTGAGTGCATTGCCGGAGCCCACGGGTTCAAGACCCGCCTGGGCAACTTGGCGAGACCTCATCTCTACAATAAATCAAAAATTAGGCGGGCCTGGTAGCGCGCGCCTGTAATTCCAGCTACTTGGAAGGCTGAGGCGGAAGGATCG